ATGACTTTGTTACTCCCCTGCTCAGTAAATATGAATGGCTCCCAATTGCTTCTACAATAAAATACAAAATCCTCAGTTTGCCATTTTAAGCCCTTTCCAATCTAACTCCAGTCTACCCTTCCCAGGCTTACTGGACTTCACTCCCCTTTACTCCCTCCCCATTCTAGCCAAACTGGCCTCTCCATGTTCCCAGCATTCCACTTCCCCTCTCCTCGCCTCTGCATGGGCTATCTATCCCCTCAGTCAGGCAATGTATTCATCTCCACCTTTTAGAATTCCTAGTTTCCTTCAAGGCTTGGCTCAGGAGCTACCTCTTATACACAACTTTTCCCTTCTGAACTGGATTGGAAATGAACCTCGAAGGAAACAATTTCTTTTTTAATTCAATAAATATTTATTAAGCACCTACTACATAACTCTAAGAGGTGGGAGAGTACACTGCAGGCATGAGTGAAGAGTCTGTGCAAAGGCAGGAGATAGAAAGCTGAGGCTGGGGAACAATATTCAGCCAGGAGTGATCTTTCTCTCCTTTGAGCTCGGACAGCCTCCAGGTACAAAGTGATATACATTTCCCTGAGGCTTTTATCTGGGGCTGGAGGTAAGAAAGGAGGAAGCTATACCTCTGGGGGCTCCCTTCAACTCACCAATCTGGATACTCTGAGTCAGGCTTCAGGGGCACTTCAGGGCCTTCTTTGTAGATGTTGACCCCCATGGCATGTGTAGTAAGCAGAACTGGGTCCTTGCATACATCTGGGTCCTTCAGGGCTTCTGCAGGTAAAGCTTTGCCTTTGCCTCCTTTTATGACTGTGAGGAGAAGGACAGCTCAGCTCAGCACTGTGCCAGAATATCCCAAGGTGGATGAGAAGCATTTATTAAGCACCTAGTATGTGCCAGGCACTGTGCTAAGTGCCTCAAAGGTTAGAAAAGGTTAGTCATCCCCCCCCCCAATTCACTCAGCAAGCATGAGGTGTATGACAATGACAGCAAACATACAGTAGTGCTTACTATGTGCCAGGATATATGCTAAGAGCTTTACAATTATTATTGCATTTGATCTTCATAACAACCCTTGCTGGTAAATGCTATTATTATACAGTTGAGAAAACTGAGGCAAACCATAGTTTAAGTGATTTGCCCAGGATTACACAGCTAGTAATGTCTGAAGCCAGAAGTGAACTCAAGTCTTCCTGACTCCAGGTCTGGTGCTCTATATACATGACCTACCTGTCCTGGGGTGACTCATTAGCCTCCTTTGGGCTTCTGCAAATGGGACCATGTGATCTCTAAAGCCACTTCAAGTTCTGATTATTTGATATGTCCGAAGGTTCCTTCCAGCTCTGACATTCTATATCCTAATACGGGTCCCTAGTAGCTATGACATTGGACAGTTAAGTGGTGAAGTGGACAGAACAAGCTGGTCCTGGAGTCAGGAAGACCTGAGTTCAAAGCTGGCCTTAGACATAGGTGACCCTGGGCAAGTCACTTAACCCTGTTTGCCTCAGTTTCCTTATCTGTAAAATGAGTTGGAGAAGGAAATGGCAAACTGCTCCAGTATCTCCGCCAAAAAAATTCCAAGTGGGGTCATGAAGAGTAGGACACTGCTGAAATGAGAGTTCTGATGATTCAATGAAGTCTAGCCCAAGTACACTTAGTTTACAGTGGCACAAAGAACAATGAATTTGGGAATTAGAACATCTGAGTTTGAATTCCAGCTCTTGTACTTACTAGTTGTGTGACCCTGGGTGGGTAATTTCACTTTTTCTGAAATCAGCTTCTTTTGTAAAATAAGATAATTAGCCGAAAAGTCTCTTTTGGTTCAAAATCCTAGGTCCCATCCTTCTGAAAGTCTGGGTGCCCACAAGCTATGATGACCAGTCACTGAAGCTTTCTTTTTTCTTTCTCATCTCCTGCTTCGCATGTGCCACCTCCTCACCCCCACCCCCCAACACACAAACACACACACACACACACACACACACACACACACACACACACAGTAGGAGCTTAACAAATGCTTGCAGATTGAGGGGAAGGAACAAGCATTTATTAAGCACCTACAGTGTGCCAGGCACTGTGCTAAGCGCCACACAAAGATTATCTCAAACTATCGATTAGTAAATCTCCCTTAGGCCAGATGACCCCCAAAGCCTCTATTCAGAGGAAAAGAGGTGGGGCGTGGGCGTGATCTAACACCACCCACCTAAGGTGGGGCCTTCTCAGAGCCCAGTCCCGCCCTCACTCCCTTTCCACAGGCTTAAGCCCACAACCGGCGCCTGCGCACTGCGTTCAGCGCGGTGACCCAGACCCACAACCAGCGCCTGCGCATTGAGCTGACAGACTTGGCATCCTCAGCGAAGCAGATCTCGGTCTCGGTCTCGGTCCCGGTCACGGTCCCACGGCCCGAGTCGGTGCAAAGTCGAGGCTGGTCCCCGAGCTCTGTTATTGCCCAGTCCAGGCTAACTCACCCGGCCTCTTAGCGTATCCCCGAAAAGAGAGGCTACAGGGGGTGGCGGGACCCCGTAACGAGGATCCCCACAAACTCCTCCAGGTTCTGGGGACTCCGAAGACAAACCGCGCCGCCATAACTTCCTCAGGTCGCGGGGACTATATCCGTCACAAGGGAGCGCCCAGAACTAAGGGAACGCCCAGAACTGAGGTTGTCGCACAGCATTTTGGGAAGTGTAGTCCTTGCGGAGAAGTTTGAGTAGTTCCCAGGTTACGGAGCTGGGAGGGGCCTCACGGCCGAGTCGTCCAATCTCTAAACAAAATTGTGAATCGGACAGAAATCTTCAGTAGCTCCCAAGTAACGTTCACATTCTTCTTTTTGTCATTCAAGGCCTCACACTACCTTACCAGCTTTATTATTTTTTCCTTCGCCACTCCCCAAAGAACCTGTCCTATTCCAAACTACAGACTCCAATTCTTCGTATTTTTATTCATGCTGTGCCTTCTATCTAGAATGCATTCCCTCTGCTTCCCGATCATAGGGTTTAGGTTAGATCTCTTACTTTACAGATGAGCAAAATGAGAAACCCCAGGAGTTTAAGTGACTGCTGAGACGTCTTTCTTATCCCTTAAACCTGACTTAAGTAGCACCTCTTCCAGGAAATCTTCCTTGTGAAAATACAGACCTTTTAAGCACTTTGTTACGTACCTCCAACGTCACGTGAATGAAGAACCTTTATTAAGCGGTGCCCCGCATTTGCCTTCCTCCAAAACTTACGTGCTGTTTTCTGCTGTAGTTATCTAGCAGAGGGCGGGGTCTCTGAAAGTCAGGATTCTAGTTTAAGTCCCGTCTCTGTCTTGGTATGTGACCGTGGGGAGTTCCCTTAGGTTCTCAGTGCCCGGGAAAGCCTGTAAATTTATAAAAAGCAGCAGCTGGTGTTCTGATGAATCCTTTCTACCCTTAGAGCTCCCTACGCCAATGGAAACAAAATCAACCTGCTCTTGCCTCTCCTCCCCACTCCCCAAGATATCTGTGTATGGAGAAGTATGTAGATGAAGAGAGATGACAGTGGATCCAGCACGGGACCTCAGTTCAAATCCAGCTTCAGACACTCACTAAGCACTGTAACCCCGAGCAAGCCACTTATCTCTCTTCCTCGGTTTCAATGTGAATTTCAATCTCAAACTTTTTTTTTTTTTTTTAACCCCAAGTTACTCTTGCTCTCATTGATTGGCCAGCCATATATCCCTGGCTATGCCCTACTTGGTTATTATCTGGGCCCGGATGGGTCAGAGTGAATGTAAATAGTAATTGTTTCTTTTGGCCAGAAACCCCAAGGGTCTTCCCTTCCCAGTTTGATTTTTCTTCTTTTAAATTAAAGGGGCCATCCCTTGGCTCACTTCTTAAAACAGCCCTAATCTTTGAATAGGCGTAGCCTCAGTCGAAGAGGAACCTGGGAAAGAAGTTAGTTTAAAAAGGCCAAGGTCTCCCGCTGCATCCTGAGCCGTTTTCAGTGGATCCTCGTGTAGTGATTTTGGGGTCCCAGCACCCCTAAACCTCTAAACCTCAATAGTCCTGATCTGGCCACTGGACCCAGATGGCTCCAAAGGAGAACGTGAGGCTGGTGACTCTGCACAGCCCTTCCTCGCTTAACTTTAATTCTCTTGCATGTCATGGCATCACCTCCCTGATGTCATAGTCCTCTTGGAGAATGAGGGACAAACAGTAGCAACGTCCAAAGTTCTTCTTAGGATCAAGTGAGAAACTATTTGTAAATCACTTTGCCAATCTTAAAAGTACTATATAAATGCTAATTATTAACTATTGAAGAATAAAAATGTAAAGATATGGGATGGAATTAAGGCAATTCAAACCCGACATTTGAACAAGCTGTTGACAGTAGAAAAATGGTTTCATTTCACGAAAAGTAGTTTTTGTCTTTTGTCCCAAGTTTCAGAGGCCCTCCTTCTGGTAAATAACTATAATACAAAATAAGGTACTTAAAGATACTTAAAAGGTGGTGCTTAACAAGGTCCAAAACATCCCTGTGATCGGTGAATTGGGAGTGAGGGTACTTGGGTTCCAGTCCCATCTCTGCGGCTATATTGCTTTGGGGTAGTGTGGTGGAAAAACTCTGGATTTTAAGCAATAGTAAATATTTTTTCAAAAAGTTACCTCTATTTTCGAAATGCCATGAGTCACACCTAACCTTTTTTTTGGAGGTGCTGAAAGTTACCAAGAGACACTGAAACTCAGTTTCCTTATCGGCAAAATGGGCATAAAATGAGCATAATAATACCCGAAGTATTCATATACCATAATCCTCAGTCCGGAGACTCAAGCAAGATGAGTGCTGTTAAGTAATGGGGCTTTGCCAGGCTCAAAGCGCTGTATAAAGCCGAATAGTTATTATCGCAGCCTGGACTTTCTCCCATTCATTTCTCCTGGAGAGCCCCACTTAACCACACCGCCCTAACTTCTTAGGAACTACATTTCCCAGCAAGCCCCTGGGGTGGCGCCTGCGCAGTGTGGTGTGGGAACTTGGCCTGGCCGAGCCGGGCTGGGAGCGGCGACGGTGGCGGAGGCAGCGGTGATCCAGTGTAGGGGCCCGGCGGGGAGCCTAGCGCACTGGATCCGGGACCAAAGCCGGAGCAGTCCCGCAACCCCGGTCTCGCGGGAACGCGCCGCTGCTTGGAAGTAATTGTGGGGACAGACTGTGGGCCAATCAGGCTTGGAACCCTAATCAGGGAAATTGGGGCAGGAATGTCAGAGAAAAGGGGAGGGGGCGGTGGAGGGAGTTGGGCTTTTTTGGCGTGTGGGGGAAGGGCCTGGGAAAAGTTGAAGGGGAAAGGGGGTTGGGGGAGGACTGACTTCTGTTACCTCCTCTGATACTTAGTAGCTGTTTGACCCTTCGAGAATCCCTTAACCACTCAGCCTCAGTTTCTTCGTCTGTAAAATTGGGGCAGCCCGGTGGTGCAGTGGATAGAGTGTCAGCCGTGGAGTCAGGGATACCTGAGTTCAAATGCGGCCTCGAACACTTACTAGTTGTGTGACCCTAGGCAAGTCTCTTAACCCTGTTTGCCTCAGTCTCCTCATTTGTAAAACGAGCTAGAAAAGGAAATGGCAAACCACTTCAGTGTCTTTGCTGAAGAAATCCCAAATGGGGTCACGAAGAGTCGTACACAACTGAACAACAGAAACAGGGGATAATCATACTACTTGTACCACCTGCTTCCTGGGTTGGTTACAAGACTCAAATGAAATGACTTTCGCACACTTAAAGAACTGTATGAATGCCAGTTACTATTAGCTAGCTTGGCATTTCTGTCGTGTTTTAAAGTTTGCAAAGGGGGAAACTAGGTGGCGCAGCAGGATAAAGCTCTGGCCTTAGAGTCAGAAGGACTTGAGTTCAAATCCAGCCTCAGACACTTGACACTTACTGTGTGACCTTGGGCAAGTCACTTAACCCCAATTGTCTCACCAAAATAAATTAAAAAAAAAATTAAAGTTTGCAAAGCACTTTATAAATGTTATTTCAGTGGATCTTCACAATAGCCCTGAGAGGTAGGTGCTATTATTAATTTCCTTTCAGAGATGCAGTGATTTGCCCAGGATCATACAGCTAAGTGTCTCAGGCTGGATTTGAACTCTGGTCTCCAAGTTCAGTACTCTATGCACTGTACCATCTAGCTGCCTTATTATTCTTTCTGTTACTTACTATTACTTCTGTTATTAACCCAGCCTTCTTATTTTACAGATGGGTCAACTGAGACCCAGAGACTTAACTTTTGCAAGGTCACAGAGCCCAGGACTCAACTCACCCTGAGAAGATGGACTGTGATGTGTGTTCCTCAGAGCCTCCAGCCATGGACCTGGAGGAGTCAGAGGCCTCTGTTCTTCTGTCTTCTTTTGATTCCCCACCCTCAGTTGCTACTTCCTTAGGACCTGCTTGCCCTTGGGAGCCAGCTGTGCCTGAGGCAGCTTCAGCCAATGATCTTGAAGGGACAGGGCCCAAGGGTTTGGGGAGTCTGAATCTGATGGACCTGGATGAAGACCCTAGTGAACAGGAACTTCAGGACCTGGTGGACCAGTTCCAGGCCCTGCCTTCAGACTTGCCAGAAGCACCTTCCCAGGATGGACACCCGTGTCCCCTCCACATTGCCACTGGCCGTGGCTTGGCCACTCCAGAAGCTCCAGAAAATCACGGACTTTTGTCATCTGAAGCCAGGCATGAAGACCTGCTCAGTCTTCTGTGCAGTGAGGGAGAAGCACCTCTGACCCAAACAGCGCCCCCAGGCCCCGAAGGCCCCCAAGACCCCATCCCCTGCCTTCTCCAGCCCCCAAAGAACTGTGCCAAGAGGACAGAGGAGAGGTCTGTGGATGGAGAGTGTAGTTCTAGTAGCTCCCCAGAGCCCTGGCTGGGACCTACCCCTCTGGCCCATTCCAAGCAGCTGTCCCCTGATGCTGGCACCACCCAGGTAAATAGGATTTTCCCATCTCCCTCAGCAACACCTAGGAGCCAAACCAGGAGACCTTGTTGCTAAGCTTCCTCCTTTCTCGTGTTTCTTTCCAGACCCCTGAAGCCTTAGCATGCTATCCTGCCTTCCAAGAAGGTGAGTGTCCTTTTCATTCTCAATTCAACCAATTTGGGATCTGAGGGGGTGTCAAAGGGGAAGGACAGAGGTCAAGATGGCCAAGCTAGAAGGTAGGTAGTTGCTCTGCAGACCTGGAGGAAAATGGAGAGTTCTAAACTGGGGGGTCTAGACCACTCAAATAGATTTTAGTGACGCTATCTGTGCTCCCAGAACCCATCACAGTTCTCTAGTTGAGTACTGCAAGCTGTTTTGGGCTTCTTGAATAATGTATAGGTCAGACTATTCACTGGCATCTGGAGTCATAGGTGATACGAGTTGTAGTTATAGACTTTGGAGGTGGTGCGACAGGTTTAGGATCTCTAAGGTTCATGGTGCTATGACTACCCCCGGGGCTCCCAGAGAGAGAGCTGGGAACTGAACGTGAGGGCTCCAAGGACTCACCTACTTGACTCTTGTCCCTGCCTTTCTCGTTCCTCTGTCTTAGTGGCAGGACCCTGTGACCCAGAAGACCTGCTGGATGGAGTCATTTTTGGAGCCAAGTATCTGGGCTCCACCCAGCTTGTTTCAGAGCGGAACCCATCGATGAGTGCCCGCATGGCCCAGGCTCAAGAGGCTGTAGACCGGATCAAGGTAAGGCCAGGAAGGATGGGGAAGGAGAGAACAGGAGGAGGAGAATGATAGAGGGAGCTTGTCACCATTTCCTTTTACCCTTGGGGACAAAGATCTGTAGATAAGGGACTGAGGCCTGGAACTGGAGCTTAGCCTTCACCTCCTCCTCCCCTGATATCTGGCTCCCATGCCTTGAGCTCATACACACCTTTGGGGAAGATTGTGGAGGGAGTCTGGGGCCTTATTGCATTAGGGCTCTGCCCCTGAATTGAGTCAATAGGGCAGGTGTCACCCAGTGAAGTAATTGGTTTTATTTCCCTTCATTACTGCCTGATGAGAGTGGAGTTACCCTGTCCCAATCAACATTTTCTCCACACCCTGCTCCTCTGCTCTCCTCTCCCATTCTATAGATGGGAAACCTGAGGCTTAGGGAGGTTAAATGTTTTGCCCAAAGTCAAACAAGTAATAAATGAGAGAGCTGGGGTTCCACAAATGCAAATCCAATGCTCTTTTCCCTCTCCCTCTTATTTGGTTCATGTCAGAGGCCAGGGACATCGGGTCCCATGGAGAGAGTAGAGAATTGTGCTGTGGCTGTATCCAGGGCTGCCTGGCTCCCAGGAAGAGAAGAGGGAGGCTGGGATGAAGGAGGGTTTGGGCTGGCCCAGCCTGCCCCAGGAACTTGAAGTTCTCTTCTTCTGTGGCCCTCACTCCTGTTCTTATCTGTAGGCTCCTGAGGGAGAGACCCAGCCCATGACTGAGGTTGACCTCTTCATTTCAACAAAGAGGATCAAAGTCTTGACAGCTGACTCCCAGGTACTGACCCTGGAGCGTTGAGGAGGGAGAAATAGCACGGGTGTGACAAGGAGCATGGTGCATTCTGGGGGCTAATGGGCAGTGGCAGGGGATGATGGGCCGAGAGGAGAGTGGGGCCCGGTCAGGGATGGCTTCCAAATGCCCTGGGGAAAGCTTGGACTTAAACCCTGGCAAGTGACTTAAACCCTCTGGGCCACCTGCCTTTTCTGTGAAATGAGGGAGTTGGAATGGAAGGCCCCCTGAGTTCCAGTTCTAACTTCCAGTTCTAACTCTTTGAACATATGGCTCTCTGGGCAACATGGAGCCATTGTAGTTTCTTGAATAGGGAGTGATTGAAAATGATGGGCTGGGCTGAGCTGGGCTGGGTATCAAAGGAAGAAACGGGAAAAGGGGTCATCATAACTTGCTTCCATAGTGGTTGAAAGCCTGCAAAGTCCTTTCTTTGCCAACAGTGTTGTATGGTCAGTAGTACACGTGTTATCCTAATATTTTAGACTGACACAGCTAGAAGTGGGTAGAGCCCTGGGCTTAGAGTCAGGAAGACCTGAGTTCAAATCTGGCCTCAGATGCTGTGTGACGTTGGGCAAGTCATTCGACCGCTGTCTGCCTCAGTTTCCTCACGTGTAAAATGAGATAAGAATAGTTCCTACCTCCCAGGGTTGTGTTGGGAGTCCCCCAAAAGGTAATATATAGTGATACATAAATGCATTGATTATTGTTAAAGAAGATCACATAGAGTGATACATAAATGCTAACTGTGATTGTTATTAAAAGATGAGGAAGCTGTGGCTCAGAGGATAAATGACTTAGAGGTAAAGGAACTTGACCCATGGTCACACAACTACCTAGTGTCCTAGTCAGGATTTGAATCCAGGACTTGTGAAGGAGGGCTTGGTCTGGCCCAGCCTGCCCCAGGAGCTTCCTGCAGGGAAGTCCAGAGATCTTCCTGCTCTGAGTCCCTTCTCTCTGGCTTTCGTCCCCACCAGGAGGCTATGATGGATCACTCCCTGCAGACCATCTCCTACATTGCTGACATTGGCAATATGGTGGTGCTGATGGCCCGAAGGCGTCTGACGAGGCAGCCTGGCTCTCAGGAGCGGCGTCTCTACAAGATGATCTGCCACGTCTTCCACTCAGCAGATGTGAGCTGCCTGGTGGAGGAGGGTGGGGACAGGCACTAGGCTTTTCTGAGGGTTCCCCAGGGTCAGCACGGGGTTCAGCGGGGAGGAACCTTGAAGGGCATCTGGCCCTAGACCTGCCCCATTGACTTCTCTTAAAGCCCCAGGCCAGGCCCTTGTCCCCAGTGGAGAGTCTGTCTTGGAGGAGGGATGATTCCAAGGATGCATGGACAAGTGGGGCTACCCAGTGGTTGGGAAATTCCCAGGGAAGGAAGCTTAAGAAGGGGGCAGGCTCTTAGCGCTATCTATGCCCCACAGGCCCAGCTGATTGCCCAGGCCATTGGACAGGCCTTTGGTGTGGCCTATGGTCAGTTCCTTCGGGCCAGTGGCATTGATCCCAGCCAGTTGAGTGCCCAAGAAGACTGTGGGAGGCTGAATGAGGGGGACCTTCACAATGGAGACCTGGCCCACTTTTCAAATCAGGAGAACTGCAGGGATGTGAGTGAAAGTGAAGCCTTCTCCTCCCCAGCTAAGCGGTCCTCCCGCTAGCCCTTTTCCTCCACAGCCCACTTTCCCAAGATTTCCCCCTCCCTTTTCTCGTTCTCACAATTTCCACACTGAGGTCCTTGGACCTCCTAAATTCCCTCTGACCTATTACTACTCCTGACTTCATCTTCCCTTGACCTTTAAACTAAACCCTCACTACATCATGCTGCTCTCAGGCCATCTTGAAAGAGCAGTGAGATGCCCCCACCCTTCTGGGCTTCACATTGCTCTATCTGTGGAGTAAGGGAAGAGAGAAGGGCTTAGATGGGATGGTCTCAAAGGCCCTGCTCACCTCAAGCAATGGATGATTTAGGTCTGAGCTTCCTCTCAGCTCTTATAGTTTACATTCTAGAATCTGATGTTATTTTCAGCCTAAAGATCTGATGAGTTTTAAAATAACAGTAGCTGACATTTATATGGAACTTTAGTGCTATACAAATTACAAAAATGTGTTCTGTCCATGATCTCATTCCATCCCTCACTGCCCCAAGTATTAATATCCCCATTTTACAGATGAGGAACCTAATGCAACTTACCCAATGTTAGGTAGCTAGTAATGGGCAGAGTTGGGATTCACACTAGGGTCTTCTGAGACTAAATCCAGTGCTCTGTCCATTGTACCATAGCTGCTTCTAGAAAGCCATTTGATTTCCCTTCCCACCCCCTTAAGGCAATGTGGTGTATTGGCAAGAGCCCTGGATTTGGAGGCAGAGGATATGTGTTCAAATCTGGACTCTGCTACTTGACCCTGTGTGATCTGGGCCATGCCCATTAACTGCTTTGAGCCTTGATTTATGTGGCTGGAAAATGAAGGGGCTGGACTAGGCATTTCAGGTCTCATCTAGCTTAAATCTGTGATCTATAGCATTATTGTAGAAGTATGGGAGAAAGTGATTATATTAGGTCATTACAAGATTAAATGCAGAAGGAAAGGCTTTCTCTTCTCTCCTGAGCTCATTCAGTCTCTTGTCCCTCCTGGTCTCTCATCCCATCTGCTCCCCAGTAGGGAGGGAGGGATGTATGGCTCTGTGCCTGACATCTTCTCTTCTTCTCCCCTGACAGGTATGTATTGAGAAACAGCAGGGAGAATGCCTGGGGGTGGCGCTGGTAGAATCTGGCTGGGGTTCCCTGCTGCCCACAGCCGTCATCGCCAACCTGCTGCATGGTGGGCCAGCCGAGCGCTCTGGGCTGTTGAGCATTGGGGACCGGCTCACTGCAGTCAATGGCACCAGCCTGGTGGGGCTGCCCCTGGCCTCATGCCAGGCCATAGTCCGAGTAAGTGTCCCTTAGGGTCTGGGCTGAGGGCCTGCTCTGGACTCTGAATCAAAGTGTAGTACATAGCCCATGTCCCATTGGGCTAAGGGCTGGTAAGGATTTTAGAAATTATTTGGACCAACTCCCCCATTTTTCAGATGGGTAAAGCCCAAGAGAGGAGGTGACTAACTCACGTCACATGGTAAAGCCAAGATTAGAAACCAGGTCTCTTAGTATCTAGTTCTTTTCCCCCTTCTTCCCCCATACTGCTCTCAGGATCTAATCCTGGTCCCTGCCCCTCTCCTCAATAGGAACTAAAGTCTCAGACTTCAGTAACACTGAGTATTGTGCACTGTCCACCAGTCACCACGGCCATCATCCGCCGACCTCATGCTCGAGAGCAGCTGGGCTTCTGTGTGGAAAATGGCATTGTGAGTTCAGGGAATAAGGGCTGGGATTGCTTGTGCCATGAGGAGGTGGGTATTTGAGAAGGATCCTGGGAGGACCAGGGCAGGTTGGGAGGCTCACTCTGTCTTCTGGGAAGAAACAAGTGTACTTGTGGGAGTCAGTGAGGATAGGCAGATGGCTGTCTCTGCGTCCCGCGTTTGCGGGTATCCTGGGGCCAGGGGTTCAATAGGCTGTCCTCTGGGATCTGGATCATGGCCTGTGGGTAGGGCCCCATAGGCCCCATAGGCCCCATGTCATGGTTTCATCCCTCAGATCTGCAGCTTGATGCGTGGAGGCATCGCAGAGCGTGGTGGAGTTCGAGTTGGACACAGAATCATCGAGATCAATGGGCAGAGTGTGGTGGCCACACCCCATGATAGGATTATCCAGCTGCTTACTGAGGCCCATAATGAGGTAGGCACCTTTCTCTCAATATTCCCCGTTTCTCCCCCAGGCCTTCTTATTGGGGTTGGGTGGGGTGAGTTTTTCTGTGTTGTTATATGCATCTGAGCCTTGAGCCTCCAGCCTCCTCTCTCCTACCAGGTCCATATTAAGATGATGCCAGCCTCCACCTACCGCCTCCTCACCGGCCAGGAGCAGCCCATCTATCTGTGACCTGGGAGGGGGGCCCAGCTTGGCCCCCCAGACTGATTACTCTGGCATCCATACTCTCAGACTCAGGGGAAGAAATGATCCCCAAACCCTGCCTGTACTGGGAATCCTCATGGCCAAGACTTCTCCTGGGCTTTGCTCAGTGTCAGTGCCTTATGCTCTTGTGTGCCACCTTGGGCCTCAGATCGTCATGGCTGGAGCTGCTACAATCCTGGGCACCAGGGATCTCTCCCTATCTGGCCTGGGCTCAGTTTGCCTACTTCCTTCTACCCACCAATGGGTTATGCCCCCTTTCTGAAGAGTGTGTGGGGGAAGGGCCACAGAAGTGTTTTTTAAAGCTATCCTTTTAGCTGGTAAAGATTAAACTAAGCAGTGAAAAGAGACTGAGTGCAGTAGTGGACAAGGCACTGGGTTTGGAGTGAGGCTATGAGTTCCATGTCATGTTGGGGCCTGGGGGAGCAAGCAGGCTGGAAGGCACAGAACTCTTGAACTGGCCTAAATGGATTTGGAGCAAGGAGGGGCCAGTCTCCAGACACTACCACAAGCCCAGGGCAGGGAGCTAAGCTTTTAGAAGCTTAGAGGGACTTGGACCTTGGATCATACATAATATATACACATATACTGGGCATCTGAACCCCATCATACAGGGGTTGTATCATACAGATCATTCTGTGACGCCTTCCTCCATTCCCACACACTTTGACAGTCTGATGAAGCCGATAGACTCCTTAGAATCGTATTTTTAAATGAACAAAATAAAAGATGTAGGATTACAAAGGAAACCAATTCTGTTGAAGTACAGTTATCCAAATATTTTTTAAAAAAGTTCACAGGCACCCAGGTTTCTTTAAAAACCCTTGTTCTAAGCTAACATCGTTCAAGACCCGGGTTAAGTCTAGAACCTGACACAAGTTGAATGACCCTTCAGTTTCCCCACCCATAAAACTAAGAGTTTTAGTCAATGATCTCTATGGCCCAGTCCGGGTCCTGGGTTCTAGGTCCTGAGAGAGTGGGAACACATTGTTCTACTGGGACAGTTGGGGGCAGGGCTATACTGCCCTGGGAATGTTTTGTGACATTGATAACCAAGCCCAGAGATGCGTGTAGGGGATGGAATAGGATGACCTGTCTTCCTTCCCTGGCCTGCAGTATCGAAAGGGGGGGGTGGGGAATAAAAATCCAACTTCCTTTATTAGGAATAGGCAGGTCTGGAAATGACCTTCCCAAATGAGGAGGCGGAAGCCAGAGTGAGTCTCCTTCCTTGAAGCTGCTGGAGTAAGGCAGGGAGGTGGAGCTTTCAGATTCCCTGAGGTGACCTTGGTGTTGGGCTGGGGCCAACGGCCCCCAGGGTCACAGGTCAGTGGCAGGCCCCCAGTCATAGCCATCATCCTCATCTGATTCATAATTCCGGGCTCGGGTGAATTTTTTTCTCAAGGCTTCTCGCTCGTAGGTTCTGGGGAGGGCAAGAAATAAAGAGATCCTGGTAATTATGTGACCATAGACAACCTCTCTTTGGGTCAAAATTTCTAAGGATGAAGCTGTCTGGAAATTCCCGTTTCTTCTGGAGAGAAGGCCTGTATACCAGTGGGGAGACCAGTATGATGGAGTGGAAAGAGCATTGAGATTTGGAGTACAAATGCTACTTGTGGTGTGCCTTTGTGCAAGTCACTTCCCTTTTTTAGATTCATTTTCTCACCTTTAGAAAGAGATGTCCCATTTTAGCCTTAAATTCACCCTGCCCCTATAGCAATATACGCCCCAGAGGGCCCTCAACACCAGCTGTTCCCCTCCTTTCTGCCCATTGCAAGAAATGGTTTTACCTCATGCTGTCTTGTCTCCACTGGCTCTGAGCAGGTGGATCCCTGGCCTGTAGAGAATCACTCAAGGTTAACGGGGCAAGACAGCAAATTTGCAGTGGAGGTTAAGTTGGGGAAATGTGGGAGACTGGATACCTGTGCCCCCCTCCCCAAGAAACACAAGTTGCTAACAAATAAATGCAAATAAACCTGTCAATGCAAAAGGGGCTTGAGCATGTTAGAGGAGGCTAGTTTCCAAGCAGGGAGAGACATGACCTTTAAACAGAGAAGAACTCTGCCCTCCACAAAGCCTAAAGCAAGGAAAGAGAAGAGCCCACGGCTTTAGGAAGGAAAATCCCATTTTCAACCAAGAAGCCTGTGAGTAAGAACTTAATTTAATTTTGAAGGACGGGTAGAGAAAGAAGAAAACATTCCCTCTTCTCTGCTTTTAAAGTTAAACACCAGACCTTTTTTTTTTTTTTTCCCCACTAAAGACAGGGAGAAGAGGGTCAGTGAGGAAGGGAGACAGAGACAGAGTCAAAAGAATGTTAGGGCAGGAAGGGATCTGGGAAGCACCAGGGAAGGATAAGTAGCTTGTCCAAGGAGATATATACAAGGAGAATGAGAAAGAGACAAGACAGAGATGTGGAAAGAGGGACAGCGAGAGAAGAAAACCTGACCTTTGTGGAGAAATATTACCTCTACCTCTTGACCTTTACAACCCAAGAAGAGAAAATTGTATTGTCTTTGTGTCTTGTTAGGTGTAAATGGTATCATTCTGCTCAAGGGTAGCCCCCACACCTAAGGGGCTCTGGCAAAGCCCCTCCATCCTTCTTGGGGTGGAAGGAGCTTTGGCTTACCTGGACTCTTGGGTATGTTGAGGCTGGCACTGCCTCTTCCCTCAGATTGTCTACCTCATCTACTTCTACTGGTTCTGATGAACGAGCCAATGCTGGCTCTGTGGGCTCCTCATCCATGTCATTGTCCGTGTAAAAGCCACCCTCTCCGTCTGTCTCATAGTCACTGTTGACACGACTATCACAGCTGAGATAAGCACTGCTCCCCCCAAAGTCCTGGTGGGGCAGTTCCAGATTCTCCTCGCTTGTGTTGTCCAGCTGGGGGAGGGAATGATGTAGGAGATGGACATAAATGGGCTAGCCTTAGGAACCCCCATTTAGCAGATAAGTGGTACAATCTAGGAAAAGATGTCCCTGGTGATTCCTATCATTGGGCTTAGCTATAGGATCATGAAGTCTCAAGCTTTTTCCCATTGATTCATCATGCTTAATTACTTAACAAAGAAGATATGCCAGTCTTCTTATAGATTCATATTATGAGAGAGACTGGTGAAGAGGGTGTGGTAGAGTTGGTCCCACCATCATAGTAAAGTCATTTTCTTTGCCTTCCTAGACTCTTAGGGCATGTAAGAAGGGTAAACCCTTGGTAAGTGGGTTTACCTGGTCTTCAGCTGTCCAGATTGGTCGGGATTGCTGGGTTTTGATAATATCTTTGAGCTCCTGGTACCAGGCATTGTTGTTCCCCTGAAGTTGAATGGTAGCTAAAGAGAGGTGGAGTATTGGAGGTAAGAGAGGTAGAACTCTCTTCCAATGACAAATCCATAGGATCAGTCAATTAGAGAGTTCTCTGATGTCTGACAAGATCAGTATAAGAATGGTAGATATAATAAAAGTTAATGATGAACCCTGTGCCTTAACACCTATATCTCATTTAATCTTCATGAGCCCCAAAGACTTGGGTCTGGATTCTTTATTAGCATTCTCATATCGGGGCTTCATATTACATAAAGGGAGTTCTCTTTCTTCCCCACACCTCAGGAAAAAACAAGCAAGTCACTTAACCTCCCGAAGCCTCAGTTTTCTTATCTGTATAATAAGGGTATTGGGCTAAGGTCCTTCACTTTAATAACCCTGAGATCCCATATCAAGTACTATCCTGCTCTTTTTATAGGTTGGGAAACAAGCCCAGAGAGGGCAATGTCATACAGCAAGTCAGTGGCCGAACCAGAAACAGATCCAGGATCTCTTGGTTTCCAGCCTAGGACTCTTTTCTCTCTAACACCCTTCCTCTCCCTCCCTCCTTCCACCCCCTCCCCCATCCCAACTTCTGTTTATCTGTTATATCCCATCCCCCCACCTAATAATAGTCATTTGTTATCACAACTCTCTGAGGTGGGTGCTATTATCAGAGCCATTTTGCAGATGAGGAAACCAAGGCAGGCAGAGGTAGAGGAACTTGTCACACAGCTATTAAATATCTGAGGAGGATTTGAATGCAGGTCTTCCTGACTCCAAGTCCAATACTATCCACTGAGCCACCCAGCTTGGTCTAACCTGTGAACAGATAGCTGTGGTACTTCCTCAGCTTGGTGGCTTGGGCATAGAGGTGGCGAGAACTCTTCCTGGAGGTGGGTACCAACCACTGACGTAGGGATTTGACCCCTGTCCGACTTTCAGGGGCAAAGAACACCACTATGGGGTAGTACTGCACATAGTTGAGGCGCTCCACGGCAGAGGGTGTCACATCCAGCAGAGTGTGTTTATTCTGGGTCAGGGAGAGAGATGGAGGCAACAGAAGCCCAAGCTTGGGCCCCGACCATGCCAAGAGGCCCTGACCTCCATGTTCTCCTCTGTAAAATGGGCAGGTTGGACCAGATGGCCTTCATTGTACCTTCTAAAGTCTGTTCTGTCCACAGATCCATCCTGGTGCCAACATTCTATGCTGTAATGTCCTTCACAATTGATATTCTATACCCTATGTCCTAAGACTCATCCCCTTCTCTTTTTCCCTTTCTGCTCTTCATCCCTCAGTTCTAGGCTTGGACTCACCTTCTCAGCAATCACCCGCACTGTGTCCAGCTTGACAACCTTTGAGGGGCCCTCAGTCCTTGTGACGCTCTCTGTAGGGATGAATGTAGCTCGTTCAGTAAGAGTCAGGAAGCGGGGCAATCATTTCTTCTCCCTCCCTCTGTGTACCATCTGCTTATTTCAGCCAAGATGGAATCAGCCCTTAGAAGAGCTCTCCTGGGACTCTTAAGAACCCAGGTATTGGGTAACTCCTGAAAATACGTGATGATTAGGATTTCTTAACCTTATAACTCCTTGATAAAACCTTCAGTGGCTCCCTGTTGCTCAAGGTTAAATCCCAGGTCTCCAGATACATGATCTGTCTTTAGTTCCTATCTCCAGCTTCATTTCAATCTCGCTCCTGAAACTCCAAATAGATCAGCCTCCTTCCTGACACCAGCATGGGACAGGATCACCTCAGTCTCTTCCCTAAATCCTCTCCCATCCCTCAAATCCTACCTTCAATCCTAACATCTTACCAACCAGCCTAACCTCCATATCCTTCTGTGGGTTCCCTCAGCTAAGGGTAGAGCAGTTGGTGGACAACACAAGTGGTATGTGGGATCAGAGCGGGGCCCCGGCACCTCACCTGCAACTTCAAACTGGTCAGGCAGCTCAGAACACAGCTTTTGCATGGCGACGTCAGCCACAGGGCCCATGATAACCACAGGGCGTTTGAAGCTGGCTGGGACAGAACAGGCAGGGAATCAGTAGGTACAACTC